CTCTTTCTAAATCTCCAATTTTTTGTGTTGTTCTTCAACGTTTCTTCTTTACGATGTAGAGCTCAAAGACAGCATGATAGTAACATGCCTGCACTCTGTTTAGTCTCACTTTACTGAAAACAGCATCATATTAGACTGGTAATCCATTAAAAAGCTGATAACCTGGTGATTTTAATGTTGTCTATCCAGTTGTTCTCCAGCACATGTACAGTCTTCCTATTCTGACATCCCTTTTATTCAATTGCTTCCTGCACATACAGGCTTTTCACAACATTGTGTGAGGCAATACACTTCTACATCTTTCCTCTTATCATTGAACATACTAGCCTCTGCTCTCTTCCTTTCCCTCTCCCCAAATTCCAGTATTTTTTTAGCATCTTCCTGCTCTGTGCATACATCTAGTTCAATTTAATATCCTCAGCCTTCAGTCACAGAAGTCCTTCCCATGGTGCTTCTCCTATCCCTTACACATCCCCTCGTTTCCCCTACTCGTGTTGCACTAAAATTTAACCCCAGCGTAAAAGCCAAGCAAACAAAGCTGATGTTACACTGTCCTCTGCAAAGGGCACATGAAAATCAAGGAATTCACGCAAAGGCAGCAAGAGGCTTGTATGAGTTAACAAGAACCTCCTGACAGAACTCACATACAAAAAGGAAGCACAGAAGAGGCTGAAGGAGGGGCAGATGACCCCGGAGAAATGCAGAGACACTGAGTACACAGGGAAGGGGCTACAAAACCCAAAGTCCCCCTGGGGCTGATTCTGTCAAAAGATGCCAAGGGCAAAAAGGGCTTTCCCTACATCAGCAGAAGACAACTCGGAAAAACATGAGGCCACTGCTAAACAGGGCAGGGAACGTGGTGACAAAGTACATGCAAATGGCTGTGGCAGACACTGCCTTCTTCACCTCAGCCTTTACTGAGACTTGTCTTCAGGAATCCCAGGCCCTCCAGGCCAGTGGGAAAGCCTCATGCAAGGAAGTCCTACCCCAAGTGGAGGAGGATGATGCCAGGGAAACATTTAAACAAACTGGGTGCATATGAGTGCGTGCGACCTTGTGAGATACAGAAGTGAGCACCAGGGAAACTGTGCTGTCCTTGTGACACCACTCTCAATCATTTTAGAAAGATCCCAGTGATCAAGGGGGGTCCTGCAGATGTGAAAATAAATCAAGAAGCAGGATCCAGGGAACTACAGGCTCATCCGTCTCACCTCCATCTCTAGGAAAGTAAAGGAATAAATATTCCTGCAGATCATTTCAAAACATATGATGGGAAAAAAGACGATTGGGAGTAGCCAGTATGCATTTACGAAAGAAAAATCACACCTGACCAATCCAATTGCCTTCTACAATGAGATAACTGGCTGAGTGGATGAGGGGATAGTAACAGATGTTGTTCATCTTGATGTTAGCAACATTTCCAACACAGCATTCCATAAAATCCTTGTTGATGAACTGAGGAAGTATGAACGAGATAAAGAGAAAATGAGATGGACTAAAAACTAGCCGGAGCTGCCAAGCTCAGAAGGTTGTTATTAGTGGCATGAAGTACAGCTCCAAGCCAACCCACTGGTAGAGTACTCCAGGGTTTGATATCCATCTAATACTTTCAAATGTCTTCATTAAGGACTTAGATGATAGGTCAGACTGTACTGTCAGCAAGTTTGCAGGTGATACAAAACTGAGAAGAGCGGCTGATATTCCACTCCACAGATACCCTGAGACATCAAGGAAAACAGCTGACACGTATCTCATGAAGTTCAGCAAAGGGAAACGTCAAGACCTGCTCCCCGGCAGGAAATAAGCCCAGGCACCAGTACATGTGGGAAGCCAACAGGCTGCAGAACACCTTTGCAGAAAAGGACATGGAGGTCCCGGCAGACAGCAAGTTGAACGTAAGCCACCAGTGCATCTTTGCAGCAACAAATATTCACAAACTCCTGGGCTCCATTAGAACAGCACTGCCAGCAGGCCAAGGCAGATCATTCCAGTACTCGGCACTGAGTAGCCAGCTCTGAGCTTCCCAGTATGAAAAAGGCATAGATACACCGAAGCAAGTCCAGATTGCCATGAGAAGAGACATTTTAGCTGCCCCAAACCAAAGTCTAACAGGCACAAATGCAAACTTTCAATTTGGAGTGCCTTATACCACACCGAAATTTGGCAGGAGTGCAGTTAAGATCCTTATGTTTTTTCCTCTCTAAGGAAAACGGTTCTAATTATTACCAGACATAAGAGGGAAGGCAGTTTCACCCAATAAAGATATTAAGTGGAATAACTACAGTAATTAAAAACATGCTAATACCCTTAAGCTATGTAATTGGACTGTGTCAAGATCGGTTTTTAAACAACCTGTACTGAGATCCTCTAAACAGGATCTGGGACTCCACGCTAACACGAGTAAGATACTGCCCAAGAGCCATGAGCTCATCCTGCTAGAAGCTTAGGTCTTTGCTCTTCTGTAGCTTCTAGCTTTCTGTTGTATGGACAAATGTTTTTACTCTTTTTCCTGTCCTGTGCAGGACAACAAACCATACATTTCAAACGCCAGACTAGGAATACTTCTGGGACATACATCTCTGGTGCACACCCACACACGCAGTATTAAAACTAATAGACTTTCTCAGAAGATCAAGCCAAATACGCACTAAACATGGCTGAACAGTGCCATGCAGTTTTATTTCAAAATAAACTTCAAACTCAACACAAGTACACTAATAAAGGTTAGGCAAATGTTAACATCACATAAGTACATAGAAATTATCTGGGTTGAAAACTTAAGTAACAAAAGGTAAAAGCCTTTATCTTAAAAGAATACTAAACTAGATAAGAGCACTTCAGCTTCTGTCATGAACAGTGACATGGAGCTACACGCTAGTATGCACATTAGTAACTATACTTTCAATGTCTTACCAATCAATAAGATAGATGTCTGGAGTTAAGTTATTTTTTTTGAAGTGAGCAAATAACTTTGGCAGATTTTCTTCAAAGAATACTTCAAATGCGGCAAAGTAAGTCAACATCTGGGAAAATACAGTGGAGAGAAAAAAAAGCAGTTAGTTGCATTATTAATAGGTTTAAATGTATAGGGATAAGCATATGTACACGCTATGTATGCAATGCATAGGGATAAATGTAAAGGGATAAGCGGCGTCTTCTGGAGCCTTTAATCTGAAATCCTTTTAAAGAATGAGAAACTTCTCCCCCGTTTTTATATGCCCTTAAAAAATTTATTCCCATTTCATCTGAATGAAGTGACAAACGGTAGACTACTTTCATTAGCAGTGTCAAATAAAAAATTGAGTCTGGTAGTCACTAAGAGCATAAGGCTTAAAAGTCAATCAGAGATGGGTGTTTGTTACAGAAACAAACATATGAAGTTACATAAAATCTCAGAATTGTCAGTTTCTGAGAAACAGCTTCCTGGCAAACATGATGCCAGAAGTCTAGAAACCCACTTTAGAGAACTGTAGAAGTGAAACAGATTCCCAACACAGATTTTTAAATGCATGAAATCCAAGCATCACATGAGATCTGTGAGTATGTTTACATGCTAGCACCAGAGCAAGAGACTTCTACTGAAGCACTTCAAAAGGACTTTAGAGAAGGGGTCTTAGACATAACTGCTACTATCACAGCTCCTGGTAGTAAGGGAGGCAGCTCCGTTAGAAATGCAATAGAAGTCCAGGCATTTATCTTGATCACGTCAACATTCAACAAGACAATTTACTTAGTACTAATTAAAAACATTCCTAGCTTAACAAAGATGCAACCAACAAAGAAGGCAAGACAAATCAATACAACTTACTATCATTTCAACAACTGAGTTACGTTGGTTTCATTTGTTTTTTAATGTATTACATGTTAAGATAAATCAGCATTTGGTCATTTAACTGTAAAGGTACAGAAAAAGATGAGGGTGGACAGCAGGTCAGTATATTAACCGGAAGCCAAAACTGCGCCCCTGTGTGTCACTAGTTTGAAATATTAGGTACAAAGTTTTCCTTGTGATGTTAGTCATGGCTTTGTACTTTCATGCTATGTTAACACTGTTTCATGTATTACCATCTCTACTCTTCCATAAACAACCATTTACCATGTAGCCTCTATTTAGCCATGTTAATCGAACTGAAAGGCACTATCCAAGAACACACCCAAAATCATTATTTCAGCTTAAAAAAAATAAAGCTTATTCTAGTAAACTTAATTCCAAAATTATCCTCAAAAGAACTGTATTTACACACTGAATGCATGAGCATATCCTCTTTTTTCAATCACAGTAACAGAGATGACCGATTTGCTTCTAGCAATGCTGCCTGTGCTGTGGTACATCTCCCCCGCGGGCATTAACAACTGATGAGAGTCAGGGGCTGCAACAGAGAATTCCCTACTGCTTTTCCAGCAGCACAGGGTAAGAATCCCTACTGTGTAAGTAACAAAAGTGATTGTTGTTGATGTCACCCATACCCTCGCTTTGTTTCTTCTATTTGAACTCTTGAGAAGCAGATTCTATTCTCACAGAGTTAAAAGGCAAGTAACTGAGAAAGAAATAGAGAATGCCATATATTTTACAAAAGATACTTTTTAAAGTGAACTCCGAACACATTTCAGGACATCTGTATTCTTTTGCCATGGTATACAAGTGGCCCAGTGTACATGCTAACAAGGAATTCTAGAGACTCCAAAGGGAATCAGGCAACCACCTCCCACTGAAAACTGGAGAGTGATTACCTGATTCTCACAGGCTCCTTTTCAAACAGAGCTGCTACAATAAGAGATGAGAAATACCACCTGCCACCATCTAATCTCAGCAACCTCTCAGTTTGTACAAAAAGCACCTTCAAGACACTTCTAAGTGTTTTCAGCTTTCAACTACAGTGCTCAATTTGAAAACCACCTACAATAATATTCTCGTAACTCGTTTCTGAGCAACACAGGACAGCTGCTTAACAATTTTATTCACTTGCCTGTTCAAAAAGGTTAGTAGGGTGGGTTCTGGTTTGTTGAGGGTTTTTTTGAGGAGGTGTGTATTGGTGTTTTTTTGTTTATTGAGCATGTTGATTTAGAATAAATTCTGACTTACTCTCCAAACTACTGAGCCCATCAATTTATTTTTTTAAACCTTCTCTATGCATATCTACAACATACCACTTTTCTTGCATACTTACAAGGCCATGGTCCACACGGAAAAATGCCATCTGACAGGGTTTATTCAAAAGATTAGAAAAGGCAATGAAGGCATCTGCAGTATCCAAGTTCAAGATCAATACCGCTGCTATGAATGACATGCCCTGTACCTGAATAAAGGAGAAGTGTTACCATTTATCAGTAACTGTATTCTTCCAAGAATACTCTCTGGTTTTGTTCATTGTCTAAGGCACCTGCTAAAGCTGCTGGATTTCATGAAACGTTCAGAAAAGCACATTTTTTTAACCCATATGACCCTTCAGTACTGTACATTCAAAGCATGGAAGTTAATGAACCCCATGTTACTTTCTTTCAAAGACTCTTAAAACTCCTAAGACAGGCTAGGCTGATGGCACTTTTAAATACCCAGAATATTTTTTTGAAGAACAAGCTGCTTCTAAGTAGACCCTCTTCTCCTAGGGATGGGTCATATATATACACCATTATTTGTGAAGAGTTGGACTAGGGCACTAGAGACAAAGCCTGTTCTTCCCTTTTTCAAACCATTACCAGCAGCTATGGACAACTGCAATGACTCGTTTGACAAGCAGAACCGTTTTAAGATAAGGCTCGTGTTTTATTTACCGTAAGCTCATGATGCTGTTGCATTTTCCCATGCTACGGGATCAATGCTGAATCTGGGCAAAGCTTGCTCAGAAGATGCAGTGCTGCCACTGCAGTGTCACGCGGAGCAAGGTGTGACAGTCCTTCCTTCGAACCTGAGGAACAAGTTCTTTCCCAACACCACAACAGGTTCCATGCCAAGGGAAACACATCACCTCAGCTGCTCTTCGGCTTCCCAGCAGTCACATTCAGCAGCTTTTGCCAAGCATGGCATGCTACTCACAGAACAGGAACATTATCTTCCTGCATTTGCTTTCTCTAAAACAACTGCTCCCAAATAAAGAATAAGCTCCTATATATCTCTCTCTCTCCTTGCTCTGTGGAAAAAAAAGACTAAATGAAGTATCTGAAATCCACTCAGTCCTCTCATAATTACTCTGTTAAATACTGTGAGGGAGCTCACGTAGCCTCAATAGGCATTGCTTAAAAGGCTGTTCCAGAAGCTCATACATAGTGCTAAGGCAAAGAAATGTGTATCAAGAGCAGCAAGATACTCAGCAGAAGAGTCTCAGCAAGACTGCCATTAAGAACAGCACGTACTTCAAAGGACCTACTTAACATCACCTTCTGACTCCAATTTTCAAGCGCTACAATGTACTTTTGAGCTTTTCAATTACTTAACCTGTTAAAAATCTTATAAAACTAGCAACAGAACCATTATATGCCCTTCTCGAGCACGTACTGGGATAGAAGTAAGCACACAGAAACCCCACAGGTATTCACAAAATCCTTTAATACTGGTCTACAAAGGACTGATTAACACAACCCTCCCTCCTCACCCCTGAAAAAAATAATTCTTCACTTACATAGCCTACATCGGGTCTGTAACAAGTATAGGCTCCTAAAATACTGTGCAACGTGTCATGGTAAGGACCACCCTATAATTAAACAAAAACAAGACAATATGTAACAAACATGCTAAAAATCTTTCAGTGCTACAGTCAGTATCTATTACTTCTCACGAAGGACAGATTATCTTCTCATGCAGCTTTGAATAGCACCAAGTTTTTCAAAATAATATTGGCTTTAAAAATCAGGAAACAGTCCTCCATATTTATTACAAATGCATACAGTTGATCCAATATATCCATTACATATTAAATCCTTCTACAAGAGAAATGTAAGCCTAAGAGATTCCTTACAGCTTAGCAGCACTTTGACAATAATATCAAGAAAGCAGAAAATAGTTAAAACAATATCTCATAACACTGAGAAAGTATATCAGGAATGAAAGGTAGAGCTACAAAGAATTTCACACTGTTCACTATTAACAGCTGCCACATCTTACACTAAGTACTGTAACTGGCTGAAAACTGCCAAAGGGAAAAGTTTTTCACCCCAAAATGTTGATTTATCACAATCTAAGCTTTTCATAGGGCTGAAATTTGTGCATAGAATGGGAAAATACCAATGTGACACTAAAATACACCAAAACCACAGAAGTTAAGTTAGTCTTGCATGGACCAAAAAAACGCCACCAAATCCTGCTTGCATGAGCTGTGCTCTCTCGACCGTGTATTTGCAACCCAGCAGCACTGATTCACTGGCCTGCATCGCTTTATCACACAGAAACCAGCATGAACTAGGCTGGATGCAAATTGGGGTTTTTTGCCTCTTTCAAGTGCAGAGTACCTTTAGGTTACTCTTTTCTAGTTTATTTATAGTTTTCCAAAATCTTTGGGAACTTTTTTCCTCTCAAGATGCCTACTCCTTCAGTAGCAGAATTCAACAGGCTGTTTCGACCAAGTGAAAAACAAGACTACGTAAATTTAATTTCTCTGAGAAGTCAAAAGTTAACATTACTTACTTGCTGGAATATACAAAGATTAGGAAACGTTCTTGAGATATCCAGTTTTATTAACTCCAAGCTTGCTTCTCTGTCAGCTGCAGAAAATCCAGCATCTAAAAAGTCAAAGTTACTGCATTTATTACACAGATCACTGTATGCTTTTAACCCTTGCCCCTAGTAAGGTTCGCTCCTGCACAGTTCATTTATTTCAGTGCAAACGCAAGGGAATCCTGGTATAGACAGGACCATTCTCTGACCTCAGCACAGGCTAAGAGGCAAGGATATGCTGACTCAAAGCAACCCCACAGCGCACGCTGACCCTCAGTATGTTTTGAAGTGATGCAGGGAAAGCCACAGGGCCAGCGCTTTATCTGCTGATCAATCATTAGACAGACACAAGCTGGTTAACCTGTGACCCCTTGCCCACAAGAAGGCTTCCCAGCAACTCCTCAAGCAGCTGCCTCTGTGGAAATGTTGTGGTGGGAGAGAGCAGTCCTAAAGCTGCAGCATTTGATGGATGCCACCTATCTCGACCACTGTCACCTGAACATGCTCTCCATAACTGAAACACATCTGAATTTCTACAGCATTCGTTTTCCTTCTAGTATCAAAAAGTTTTATTGTGTCTGTTAAGTATAGTTGGGAATTACCTACCACTACTTATTGAGCAATCACAAAACAAGAGTTGTCCCTTTGTCACTAGCCAGCGCTTACAGCAGTCACATGAGCACCTATACTCCAAAAAATAAAGTGCAAGAGGAAGCTGGAACCATACTAGAAGTCATCTTAAGATACAATGTTAAGAGAACAATTAGGGCATTTCCAGTCAAAAATATTTTTCTGTTGATGAATGTCAGTATGCACATTCTCCTTCTTCTGTTCAGCACAATTACTTACCAAAGGCAATTTCTAGCATCTGCACGTAGTTCTACACTCTCTCAAAAAGAGAGAACTCTTCCAAACAATTAGCAAATCTCAAACCACTTCGTCTGCAAAAATAAATTGCTACTCTCTGAAACATACCCAAGAGATTGGCTCAATGCTGCAATAAAGAGACTAAAATGCAATTTTCTCCTTTCAATTCAAATACTACAGACGCGATGTGCTTTTAGTTTTGCAATTCAAATTATAATCCCCAAATTTTCCTAGGTTTTCCACAAAACAGTCTTAAATAAGAACCGTACCTAGAGATAATTTATTAAGAGAAATGAACAAATGTGTTTTATATGAGACCATAGTTTCACTGAGAACAAAGAATACAGCTATTTCTTGCTTCCACAAGAAGCAGTTTTCTTCTTACCAGACGCATCTTTACAGCTGAATTTTTTAAAGAATCTATAATCTCCCTTTAAGGAACATTTTTACAAAATCTCTTATTCTGTAACACAGTATAATCACTCATGAAAAAGCATACCTTCACATTCTACTTCAGTCCCTCCTGTGCTACGTGATCGCCATTTCTCTTTGGCACGAGCCAAGCAAATATCAAACAGTTCTGTTAAAAAAAAAAAAAAAAAGCCAGAGAAAACCAGGTTCACTATTTGTATATGATCAAGTCCACTGTCAGGTACTGCCTCCTGTAGGAGCAACGCTGCCCCAAGCATTACAAGGAACAGAATCTCTAACATAGCAGTGGAACCTCTAAGTAGGTGACGGCTCTGAAAGACTTGGTCCATCAACCTGTAACTCAAGACTAAGTAAACAGGCAAGGTAATCTAGGCACAAGGTGCGTTTTGGGTTCAAGCATTTATTCTTCCTACAGAGCCCTGACGTTCAAAATTCTAATCTGACTGGGTAAGTGGGGTAAATCTAGAAAATTCCACCTAAGAACTACACCCGAGGTAGCTAAGCCGAGCACAGAAAAGCAGCACAATACTGCAGGAGTATACACAGTTCACCACATTTCCACATTGGAATGAATTACACATGTCAGTCTTTCGGAGCTCTGTTCCTCTGTACTCTGAAGTAGCATGCTATTTCCATTTTCACAAACGCACACACAAACCTAAGTACAAATTTTCCCAAGGATCTTAATCTCTCACTCTAATGTCTTGCTCTAAATCAAAGGAAGCACACTATATGCATATTTGTAGGTATTACAAAATTAATAATTCTAAGTTTCAAAAAGAAAAAATTCTTGAGCCATTAACTCTTGACCATCTCCATCTAACACAGCAAGACACAGCGATAGCAAGAATCAGAAACTATCCACAGCCGCAGTCCTAGAGCTGCTACAAGAGACGTTGTATTTTTGAACAGAACACGTTAAAGCACCACAAAACCCCCATAACTAGACAACATCTCCTCACACTCATGTTCTGATACACCACAATAACTACGAGACTGCTCCCTTACTATTTATCTTTGTACGCCAATGCAGACAGAACACCAGTCTCACCATGGGTGATGTTTAACTCGTTGCCAATTGCCAGGCTCCAGACTTTGCCTCTCACACTTGGTGGAATGCCCTGCCACCACAGCTCTCGAACTTTACGGGAACAAGACCTGTTAGAAGTAAAACACATTATTCTAAGAAATATTTCATTGCCAGCCGAATTGCAAATGTCTCCTCCCACCACTGCTGAAAGGTTCCAAACCAAAACGAACACCAACAGGCCAAGAACTCAAACACGATTTGCACATTCCCATTCTTGCTTTGAACTGTAAAGGAAAGATTCCCTGTTCCAAATCAACGGCTTGACAGCAGCGTCGTAATCGCAGTAGCTGTAATCTGCAAGCACAGCTGAGCAGCCAGAATCACAGGGGGCAGAAATAAGCAAATGAAAAGGAAATCCACCCCCATGTCACTGCCTATGCTGAAGACTGGACATCTCCATGCAAGATGAAATACAGAAACGACTCATGGAAGCCTACGCTCTCCCCTCTGTCATCACCCTGCTGTGCAAATGAGACACACAGTTTCCCACACAGCTTTGCAGCAATAACCCTTCAGAAAAATGCACAAAGATGTAACAAGTAATAACTTTCAGGTGGCAGCATGAAACATATTTTAACAGAACACAGGCTTTGAAATGGCTGCAGCTGATGTTCATCAATCTCAGAGCCCAGAAGGAAGAGCACGAGAGCATCTCTGTACCGATGAAAGTCCGTGGTAGTGACAAGAAACACAACTACCCATTTATCTAAAAGGAGTTTCTGAACTAAAATGTAAAATAGTGAATACACTGGGGAACTTCCAGATTTATACATCAATACGGGAAAAGGTGTCCTTATTTTTACAGCAGCTCTAACAGATGCATCTTCAAACACAGATACGTAAATCTACAATTTGCTTGTACTTAATTTATTACTTCAGTTATTCAGAAATGCATTTTCCAACAAATTCTGACCATACTTTTTAATATATATTCTCAGGACAACTGAATTCCATGATAAAGCAAATGGCAACTGTGAGTGCTGTGGAGGCTGGTTTATGTTTTGGTGGTGGTTATATTCAGGGGATGGTGCGGCTGGTTTTTTTAAGATGACTAGTAAAGTCCATGAAAAACTAGACAGCCAAGGTAGCTTACCAACTGCCTGTGCTGTGTCTTTGTAGGAAATCTTTTAGCTTTTTTTTTTTCCCTATTTTACTTTTCCATCACTTGATTATCCCAGCAGGTATACCACTCTGTAATTAAAGAGGCTTCATAAGACCATACACTTACTTCAATCCACATCTTGATATAGCAACAGCAACAGTTCAAGCAATCAAGGAAAGCTCACTTCTGATAAATGCATGGTGATCGCACATTATAGTTTTTGTTTTTACATCCTCTACCACATACCACCTCTCAGTGTTTCAGTTTCTGATTACCCTGAAGCTCCATTAAAGACAAATAACAAAAAATAGAACGACATCACTTCCAGCCACCTTGTTGAAATAACAAAATCTATGTTGCTCATTTTCTTTGTAGGTGTCCAAAAGTGACTTTCAAACAAAAGATTTCAAGACTATTTAAAATTATACTTGCTAACTCTGCAACTTCTCTTCAGGATACACACTCAGCAATTTTAATTAAAACTCAGTATAACATACTGTCTTACATAGTTTCCCAGTTGGGCAAGATTTCATTGTTCCAAGTTAAAACAGCATTGCCAATGCTGTCTTCCAGTTTACAGCGTTCTTCCAGTTGCTTCTTTCTCTTCTGGGCTTCCTTAAGCTCTGCGGAAAAGTGATTTCCTTTTTAAGTTACTAAAATCAGAAACTAAACACTTAAAAGTTAGCCAGCCATGGCTGTACAGCCATGTAAAAACTCACTACATTCACCTAAATGTACAGTGGACAGCTAAAATTCTAAAAATACAGTAAGCCAAACAGTGATGTCAAACATGAATAAAGATCAAAGTAGAACTATGCATAAGGCTCATTTTTGATGTATGGAACAAAGAGAGCTGGATAATACATGGCTCCTTTGACCCTTCAAATCTAACCACATTACTAACTTGGAATTATCATCTCCGACAGCCAAAAGCCCCACCTAGTAGGCCAGGTCAGATTATTTCCCAATAAAGCCCAACCCCTTACCAGCTAAAATAATGCAGATTTTGCATTCTGGTTTCACTCTTACACGTATTTAGGTATATTGTCAGGAAATCACAAGAGCCACATTTTTGATGCTACTTAACACATGGTTAATCTAAACGTCATAGAGCACAAATATATATGTGTGTTTATATATATATATTTTTACTGGAACCTTCACTTCATTAAAAAGAAAACTTCTCACATTTAGTTTAAACACATTTTACATTTTTGCATTAACACTCAGTATTTCTTGCATCATCAACTACTATTTTTTCCACCAACAAAATTGTTAGACATGCAATTTAACAAATCCAGGCAGACACTCTTTACAGCAGCACAGTGGAAATACAGGACACATGTACAGACACACATGCACTGTCTACAACGTGGGAGGATACTGACCTAGAAGGAAAACGAACTGAGAACAGCGATACCATGAACTAGGTCCTTGGAACGAGCACACACAACCTGATGGGTCCACTTTAAAACCCACCAGAGGCTGTGCCTGAGCAGAACTGCACCAACTGCCTCACAGTACTTGCAGCTTTAATACAAGCTCTTTGTAAACCTGCCTAAGTGAAGGTATCAAACTTTTCTCTCACAAAAAAAAAAAAAAAAGGTGTTTACACGCTTTGCTTTCCTGACCTCTGCACAATACATTACTCTGCAAAGCTGTTCATCTGAGTGGCTTTAGGGAAAATGGGTTTGTCATGGTACTTATTTGGGCAGAACGACATACTCCAGTCCAGTGAAGAGAGCACAAGCATCTGGCCCCTAACCTCAGCATCATCCCATTTCTCCCAAACTATCTATTCTACGTGCAAAGAAAGAATGAGAAACTACTACACATTAAATGGATGGACTGTCACGGGAGTCACATGAAGTCAGACCTTCACTGCTAGGGTAGGTGTGTGAGATTCCAAACCACAAAAGGATATGTTTACTAATACATCAAGTGCAGAAAGTGAGCAAATCCTTTTTGCTGTGTCACACGGCTCAGGGGTCTGGCCAGCTAGAAGAAAAGTATTTCCAGTAGCTCTCACTAGACACAAAACTTCTATGAGACCAAATTTCCTACTATGGCAATGCTTGTTTTTAACTAGAAGACCCAGATTATCAAAAATGTCAGCAGAAGAAAATCACTACTTTCAGGTCTACCTGATGTGCATTGTGCAGTGTTACTGAGACACTTTTGTGAACGCCGTCAGACAAGAAATCTTGGGAAAGCTGTAAATTCTAAGTGGGAGACAGATTATCAAATGAACATAACTATATATATCTCTGGATTCACCTCTCTTTGAGGGGACATACAGATCCCTCACATTACAGAGTAACAGACACAAGTACATTTCAGGTTTAGAAACACCCCTCTAAAGACAAGAAATTCCATCACCTCTTTTTTTTGCTTGAACTACCATTTCTTCGTACTGTTGTCTGTGTTTCTGAGCTTCTTCTGCTGGTTTTGCAGGGAGGTTCCTTAAATTAAAAATATTATAATAATCAGTATTTAAAGTTGGCATGCCTGTCTAAAGAAAATTCTAGACACTTCTAAAAGAAAAGCATATATTACTTCTTGTCAAAATATTTTGACCAAATAGCAGAGCAACAGATCCTTGGAAAGAATTTTTTTTGCCAGAGTCAGCAGAAGAGAAGGGAAAAACACTGACCAGCTACGACTACTTTTACACACAAAATACGCTGAATAATTTCCTTATGTTTGGTAATTTCAGCATTTTTATTATTAAATCAACTGAGCCCATAGGCCGATTTTCATAAATAAAGGAAATATACTGGTATATACCAAGCTGGTAGTTTTGATTTAAACTGATCCCTACAGATAAGATACAAGACCAGACTCTTACTGTGCGCTTCGATTAGGTTATACCCACAGCTTACATTCCCCATGCAGTGATGACTCCCTACAACAGCTTTCTTTTTCTTCTTTGCTCTCTGGGACCCCATTTCTATTTTAAAGGCTTAATACTTCACCCTTGCTTCTACAGTAACAAGCAGCACTGGAGTCATCTTCTATATTCTCCAGTTATGAACATCAATGCAGGCCCTTCGATTTGCAATTAAAGCCTGGACTGGTAACTTCTCTGCCACACAAATACACATGCCCATACGTCAGCCCACATGAACTTTAAGCTAATGATATTTGTAATTAACGTAACCACTACTCATCCCATACAACTACACATCACCAAAACATCAGAACAGGAAGTGACTAGTATTTTTCTGTATTGGAGAATGCTACATTGAATTGCTAGTTTGCATCTTCAGTTAATAAAAAAGATATTCAAAAATTCACTTTCACAGTCCTGTAAGGTGTCACACACAGGGGAGTTGCTGGCCATCACTGCAGTCACCATTAACAGTAGTAAGCTTTAGCATTTACATAATCATACTACTTGTAAAGTATGCACAGCCGTGTGATACATGCCTGTTTCTTTTAAATCCAGATTGTTAAAAAGAACAAGGAAAGCCAGTTTTCACATTAGTGTCTTTGTTAACCACAGAGAACAATCTACCCTTTTTCCAGCCTCATAAATGTAAATTGACCAGTATCTTTTTAAAATACAAGTCTTTAGAAACGGTGCAAGGTAGGGAGTTTAAAAAAGAAAACCAGACAAAACAATGCAAGTTTCACTAACTTATTTGTTCTATCTCTAAATGATATCACCATATATGTGAGCTGATATTTAGTACTTATTAACCACCTTTAACTAATCCTTTCTGCAGTTCCAGCTAGATGGACTATGGAATATTTATTGATTTTTCACAGAAAAGTTTTACTCAAAACCTTAAAGTGAATGCAAAAACAGGAGTAGCCATTTTGGAAAAAATCTCACTGCATTTTTCTTCTAGAAGTCTTAAACCTTTTTGCCATAGAAAATAAAAAATAACTTGCTTAGAGCCTAAAAGGTTAAAATAAAAAGTATGCAAATTGTGTAACATTTAATGAGATTCTTTGAAAAGTGTCAGAGGATAGCACTGTTGTCCAGAGCAATTTTCCCTACTAGACAAGAGAAATGATGATTCAATTGTCTAGAATCTGTAAATACGTAAAAGCTGGGTACCATTCATAAATCAACTAAATACCACTGAATTTATGCAATTCAGGATCAAAACATGGTAAAGCAGCTGCTAGTAAATTGTCATGGAGTTAGTCTGCAGATAAGAATCTCCTTGCATGAAACAACTTACCAAGTACTTGACAATCTCTAAAAAGCAATGCTGAACCCACCACAGAACAATCATTATATTGTTTTATTATTTATGGAGGTGTGGTCCTTCTCTGTGTAAACAGGACACTGTATCCTTGCTTCTCAACTTCTTTTTTTATGCTTGCCTTCTCCCATGGAAAATAAAAATCCCTTATTTGAGTTTACAAGGTAGAATTACTCAAAACTAGAGCTCTGCTCTCCTAATTACCACCTTTCATACAAAGTTATTGTTTTTAATATAAAATAAGGTTATTTTTGTTTGAGTATTTTTCTCATCGTCATCATCTCACTTTCACATTCACTAGCCTGGAAAAAACCCACCAACTAGTTGAAATTTTAAATTGCCTCTTTAAGTCAGAGTTAATCAAGTACACACAGTAAGAAAAGCTTTGCTGGCCGCAATTTAGAGAGATCCTCACTGCGGTACTTCCAAAAACTTACGCTGGTCTGTCCTCTAAAATAAGTGCTGTAGTGGAGAGTGGTTCAAAGTCAAGATTCTTCCTCACATTCTGTTTAGGAGAGAGTGGTCTCTGAGCTCGTCCAGTTTTTTCTTCATATTCCTAGAGAAGCAAAAGACAGGGGGAGCTATAAGAGTGGAGAACACCAAGATTATGCCTATGAGAATTTAAAAAGTGTCTACAACAGTCTTCAAGATAATGCTTTCACATCTCTGTCCAACTGCAGTCCCTTTAAAGCTTTTCAACTAGAGGAACCTCAGAATTAAAAACAATGTCAAAATTTATGTTCAGGATTGAATTTTGAGGATTTTTCCATTCCTTCTATTTGAATAAACACCTGAACTTCCTTTGACGGGCAGCCTGCTTTTACAAAGTACTGCTAAGAATAAACTTACAAACAGTAGATACTATCTGAGGTATAAAATAAGACTTAAAATATTTTTGGTTAGATTTATGTGGTTTTGAAAATGAACCCAAAACTGACCACAAGCTCCCCGTTTTAAAATCTCATTCTAAGTTTTCCCCTACCTAAGCTATTTTCACAAGCAATAGTTTAAAGATCTAAAAAAGCCCAAAACCCCAAGGTTAAAGTCACAGTTAGACAGAGACCCCAGACTTACTATGATGCCCTGAAGCACAACAATCCTAAATCCTAACAGAGCATAACGTACTAATTTGTAAAAGAGACACTGGCACACCAGAGCAAGACTAGCAAAGGGGCACCAAGACAACTGGTGTCTGGAGCAAGTGATACACACAGAGAAGCTCAGAGAACTGAGCCTGTTCAGCCTTTAGAGGAGAAGGCTTTGTAGGGATCTTCTGTAGCTGTAGGCAGCATTAACAGGATGGTGAAAGCTGAGTACAAGCGTCTGAGGTGCCTGTATAAAAACCAAGAGATAAAAAAAAGACAACAGGGGACAACATGGGGAGTTCTAGGCTAAGGAAGAAAAAGAATCACTAGGAGGGCAGTCAAACACTGGGACACCTTCCTGAGATGTGCAGAACCTCTGACCCCGAAGGCATTCAAAGCTCAGCTGGATGAGCCCCGGGAACCTGGTCTAAGCAGACTCTGCTCCGAGAGGGGAGTTAGTCCCTCAGCAGCCCTTCCACCCCTAATTACTGGATGGTTACGATCTACACAATGATGGCTATTACTTAATTACTGGATGGCTACGATCTACACGGCAGGACTTGACACTACATGTAACATGCTCTTTTTGGTTTTCCTACAAACACTGTTTTGAAAGAAAATGTATCAAAAACATGACCTAATGAGATACAATCACCTTTATACAACTCCCCATCTACTCCAACGCTGGAAGTACTACAGCAAACACTAAGTATTCAAAGCATCAGTCGTATACAAACAACATGGTCAAGGAGCACTACAGAAAAACAAAAGTCCATATTATTTATACTTCACAATTCACACAATCAGAACAGCCTGGATCATTCAGAAACTAAGACAGGATCCCTAACATTCCCACAAAGGTCTTCTCCTCCGACTCGACCTTAAAAATCAAAAGCATGGATGAAACCCACACATGAATGCAGAGCAACTCGGCTTTGGTTTTCTACTGTGTCATTCAATTCAATTTTAGTCCAAGCTAGTTCTGTGGGACTCATGAGTGCAGGTCTGTGAAACTCTCGGACACAGAAAAATCCTCTTTTTGCTTGTTAACTGGGCACTGCCTCAACAATCAGTCCTATGATGCCAGCACTGCTGTGACAGGAAACATTGTCATGAAGTCGGAATGTCTGGCTCATTAATACCAGCTAATACTGCTGTGCATGACATCAGTTTGAAAACAAGGAAAAGAACTAAATAAAACTGCACGTATTTCCACTGATGAATGGTACTTAGATTTATTTAGTAAAAGGAGTGTTCCCTCTGACAAAGCTGTTCACTTAAAAAAACCAACCAAACAAACATCAAGCAACCTCCAGCAAGGAAATATAAAAGGAAAAGGTACTGTTATCGACAGCATATTCAGAAAGCTAAGACATTTTTCCTGCATTAGTAGCTCCCTGCAAGCAGGTGACAGTGACCAGGGTGTGAGTGCTTCAGCCGCACCATCAACTGCAGAGTATATCCACTGGGCTGACAGAACGAGACAACTGGATATTCTTTCTCCTAGTTTCTATCAGAAGACTGATCTTTTTATTAGTAATTTTTTACAAATTAGCAAGTCAAATGTTAACCTCTACTACGTTTTTGCAGACAAGGTGAACCTTGTCCCTAAATCTAACATTTTTACTCCTTTGAGACACTACTAATGGAAGAAAAACCATTTGGCATCTACAAGAAACTGCTCATACGCAGAAATCATCATATATTGATCTCCTTAAAGCATCACAGAACTTGACATTAAAACACATGCAACCAATGCGTATTGCAGGAGAAGTTCCAGAAAAGCTGCTTAATTCTGGCTTACAAAAAAAATTTTCAGGGTCTTCTTCCACTGAAAGCCAACTGCAGAGCACGAATGCTTTTGGAAGGCAAGTAAAACTAGGCTGCAATGGGGATTTTATTCCATACAGTAGAATTAATTTGGAAATCTCATTCATCTAAGCACAAAGTTTTCCAGATTAGCACTACACTTAGCAGTCTTCCAAGCATTCTTGGTTCTTTTGAAATATGAGTGGCTAGTTACAGCACTCGCATATTACTACAATTACACACACGTCTTGAGGAGCAAAAGCCCACCCTGCATTTCAGCAAGCATTCACTGACATGTTCTACACTCGGCAGTATCCTCCAGTAAAGAAACCAGACCAGCACAAAAATGGGAGGGGCACATTTTGTCAGGTTACAAGTATGAGTCCTTTGTAGTAGATTCATCCTTCTCTGTGGCAGCCAAAAAAGAGTAAAAATGTCTGTTGGTGACAGTTATTATGTATAAGACTAGCTTTTTATTCAGGGAAAATTAAAAATAAACAAAAAACCCCACACTCCATCCCCCTAAACCCCCAACAGAATAAAATCACAAATGCCCAAAATTCACATAAGATAAATGCTTGAGAAAATGATATTTTACTCCAGTAAGAAGAGATTGCAAATTTGAACAGAGCACAACGTATATAATCCAGCAATGAAGCAAATTAAAGCCTCCACAAATTCATATTAAGAGTATCTGCTGACGGAGCAAACAGAATTATTTGCACATACAGGCATACTGCAATAGGCTGAACCACACAATAGCTCATTTTACGCCCTTTTTTTTAAAAAAAAACCAAACTCAAATCACTCACAGGTATATATAATTCAACATTTATTTAAATCTTATACTGGAATTAGGGGTTACTAACCCGATATGGCTGCAAGATAATTTTAGAATCAATTTAGGATGAGCTGATCATTTACGATAGAGAAAATATCTTTAGCACTGAAGACCACTTAGGCTTTCTTTCAGGCTTTGTCTTAACTTATTCAGCATTCAGCCACAATATTGAACTAGGGTTTGAAGATGCTCTAAGAGAGTGTTCTCTGAGAGATTAAAGCACCGATTTACAAAAAAACCCCAAAAATAAGAAAAAATTCAGAGAAACACCCCCCCTCCCCCGAAATCCAAGTCTAATTCTGGGTGGAATCTGACAGCTTTGCCATTGAGATGCAAGCAGCCCAAGCCGAGGAGATCCTCTGCAATTCTTGAAGAGGCTGAAGCTAAACCTGCCCAGAGATCTTAAACCAGAGAAACGCGAATATCGCCCCGGCACAGAGGGCGGCG